AACACAACATGCACCCCTTGAACAATTTCAGTCCAGGCTCAAAGCAGTTGAGTAACTTAACTTTTACTGAACAGTCAGTGTAACATGTACAACAGGGTAAAACGTTCTTTCCCTAACTAACTCTCGTAGCAGCTGCCCCAGCTTAGCCACACATGCAGAGTCCTTTTGGGTAAAGTCCATTGTTGGAGAGTTTCGAGTGAAGGTGTCCATTGTTATGGGGATCCTAATGAGTTGGTGCTTCAAGGGTGAACCACAAATCCTAGCATGTTTCTGCAACGTTCCTGGTCTCTTACTCGTTCCCGCTCCTAGCCCGGACCTCTTCTTTTTTATATGTCACAGGAAGGGAGGCCAAGTAAGACCAAGTAAGACCATGAACATGATCAGGGAAGGCAGCAAAAATATTAACCCCTGACCTGGGCAGCTGAATGACCTGCCTAAACACTTGATCACAGAAGCAAAAGCTAAAAATCTGAGGTCTCAAGATGCCATTATGTGCATGGCATGTATGTACTCCTATTTGTTTGGACTTCATACATGTACTTAAGTAAATACAAAAACAAACTAGTAGGATGATTTTTCTTCTACTTAAATATGGTCCTAATATAAAGGTGCTTCTATGTCTGCTTCGGACTCAGGATTCCATTGGAGCCCCCTCCCGACTCTTTATACAAACCTTTTTTTCCAGGTCTCTTCAGTCTGGTCGCATGACATCACAAGTCCTCTACACCTTCTTCCTCTGGCAGGGTGCGGATCCTAAATGTTGCACAAAGTGCAGAGCGCTGGGCATCATTCAATCCAGAAGCTAGGAAGTGTTGGGTTTATGAGCACCTTGAAGGTCCCATTATTGGAAGCAGGGACAGAAATTGTCCATGCTAGCAGGGAGCTGCTTCCATGGCCAGGAAGCAACTCTCAGTTGGTAGAAAAGTCAAAGGAAACACTGCTTCCAAATCCACATGTCCTCCCCATAGTGATGCATACACAAGCGTGTCTCCGATCGGTCCACCAAAAATTCCAAGAAATGATGGGCCTCTCTCTGTTGGTGCCACCGTGATAAAAAAACTGTATTGCAAATCCTGAAGAATGTCAAGACACCTGCATGCTGAGTAATGGATTGGTGAGAAGAGTGATAGAGAGATGAGCTCATTAGAGAGCTCCTTCTCCTTTCACTGTCCAGTCACAGGTTGGGGGGTCCCATCCAGTTCTAGGCACGAATGTGCTCTGGGGCAGAAGTGTACGGTGTCACAAGTTAGCCCGCAGTTTCTTGTTTGTGTTCTTACCTTCTTGCTGCAGTCCTGTTCCTGATCCCTTCTCATGTTTGTCTGTGCTCATCCATGGGTGTCATCTGCTGTCCTCTGGATTTTATTTCCTTTCCTTCCATCACTTCCTGGCCCGCCTCCTTGTTTCCCTGTCTAAATAAGACGTGCTCAGACTAGGCCACTTCCTAGTTGTCGGAGCTCCCGTGTGTTACTACTGTCTGAATCCTACATTGACTACTCGTGTACTGACCCCGGCTTCGTTCTCTAACCTTGCTTGTTTTCCACCTGTCCTGACCTCGGATTCCGTTTGTCTCCTCCCTTTATACTCTGCTCCCGCAAGCGGTCTCCTCAACCTCAGCTGGGCATACCTGGGGGCCGCGACCTGGTCCAAGCTTGCTGCAAGTCCATCCCCACCATCAGGGGCTCTGGTGAACAAGCAGGCTGGGGCTTAGACTTCGCACCATGTGGAACCCCAAGTTGAGGATCAATAAGAGCTCACTACCACAGGTGCTGACATACGGCTCTGAGTGAGATTTCCAGGCAGTTGAGTTGCACTTGTACCACCACCCCGACTGCCTAGCTAAATTTCACTGCAGCCAGACAGGGCTGTACACATGCTGCGGCCGCGATTCTTTGCTTCATGTCCGTGGCAATTTTAACTCTTGCAGAGTTTGACAGGCTGCACTACAGGGGCGGACTGACAACTCATGGGGCTCCCGGGCAATAGGGGATCATGAGGCCCCTGTGTCCTTGCCCAAACTCAAAAAATCCTATGAAAAAGGTACCAGGGGCATCTCATGGGGCCCCATACTGACCCCAGGCCCTCGGGCAGTGCCCGAGTTTCCAAATGGTCAGTTTGCCCCTGCTGCACCACTTGCAGACGTGCATAATAAAGTCAAAGCGTGTGCACCACAACTGTGAGCTATTAAAGTTGTTGGCACCAAAGAAAGGGATGCCAGGGTTGCTACTAATGGGTAAAGGTGGAGACAATAAGGGTAGTGGATATTGCCTGTAGTCATCTTGGGATTACCTGATAGAGACTGACTGGCCATGTAGTACAGTGCAGACTCATCATTGTGGCTATATACGTGTATACATGCAGTTTGTAATGTATGTTAGCCATTACATGTGGATAACTAACTAGGAGTTTCAACAAGGAAAACATACTACTGTACATCTTTGCTCGTGACCCGTCTATCTCTACCCCATGCTTCTAAAATATAACTGAAAATTATGACTTGCACTCAGCTCTGCAGGTGGTATACATACGATTTTACTGGCAGTAAACTATGCCTGAATGAAGAAGAAATCACCGGTCAGCCCATTTAGGAGACATGTGCAGTTATTTTTCCCTAGGAGCAGTCTGCAACTGAAATGAATTTCAGGCGCTCATAATATTTTACAGGACCTTTTCAAATAAAAGAACCTTTCACTCCTTTCATGAAGAAGATTGTTACATTTTTGTGGTCAACTAACAGAAAGGAGACATTTAACTGAGACGCCCTATTTAGCGTAGAACACTAAGAATTGAGAAGGGTAGAAAAATGCTGAACCACATAGCCATGTCCATCTGTTCAAAGTTTACATCAGATTCCTTAACATGTTCAAAACCAAAACCCCCAAACAGATCAAGCTGGGGATTCTTAGTCAAAATATTCTGTAACTGAACACAGTCTGTAACAGCTACAGTACATAGGGATTCCAGCCTTCACCTACTGCAGAGGTCTGCTCCACTAGCAAATTCTGCATGGTGGCCAGCATCGTTTTCTGAAACACCCTACAGTGCTGAAGTTGTGTTTTTTTGACTATCAACCTGTTCACATTGTAAATGCAGATAAATACCGTATATACTCGAGTATAAGCCGACCCGAATATAAGCCGAGGTACCTAATTTTACCACAAAAAACTGGGAAAAACTATTGACTCGAGTATAAGCCGGTGGTGTCAGTGGGGGGAGGAATAGTGCCCCATCTTTGGTGTCAGTGGGGGGAGGAATAGTGCCCCATCGTTGGTGTCAGTGGGGGGAGGAATAGTGCCCCATCGTTGGTGTCAGTGGGGGGAGGAATAGTGCCCCTGCTCCAGCCTGGGCTCGCTCGCTCCCTCCCTCTCCCATGGTACACACTTACCGGTCAGATGTCTTCCTTCTCCGGCCGCTCTCCTCCTCTTCACTCGCTCGATCTTCACGGTGCCGCTCGGCTCCTCCTCTCCAAGCTCCACCTCCTCGCCGGTGATTGGGCGCCTGTGTGCCTCTCCTGAGCTACAGTTCCGGCGGCCAATCACCGGCGAGGATTGATCCCGGGGGTGTGTCCAGATGACAGGGACAGCATGTCATCCCGCCCACACCTGCAGACGTTGACTCGAGTATAAGCCGAGGGTGCCGTTTTTCAGCACAAAAAATGTGCTGAAAAACTCGGCTTATACTCGAGTATATACGGTATTAATTCTTAACCAGTTCCAGCCAGGGCCAATTCTGACATTCCTCTCATACATGTCAAAATCAGCATCTTTTGCTAGAAATTTACTTTGAACTCCTAATATATATATATATATATATATATATATATATATATATATATATATATTTAAGTAGAGGCCTGGGAGAATTAAATGGTTGTTGTTGCAATTTTTTATGTTGCATAATATTTGTGCAGCAGTTTATCAAATGTAAATTTTCTAGAAAACATACACTTTAATGAGTTGTAGTTCACACAAACACAATATAATACCCAATTTGTCTGTATACCATAAAAGATGATGTTAGGTTGCGTAACTAAATACCTAACATTTCACGCTTTAAAACGGAGTATGCTCGTGGAACGGTGACAAATCATGGAACCTAAAACTATCCATAGGTGACGCTATAAAAGCCTTTACAGGTTACCTGTTTAGAGGTACACAGGAGGTCTGGTGCTAGAATTATTGGTCTTGCGCTGACGCTCTGGACGTCAGATTTACATATGCATGGGGGACCTATGTGCATGTGTGGATTTGCACACGAGCATATTGGAACTTTAAATTATTTATTTATTACACTGTACCTTTATTTATTTTTGCATCAACTTTATAGCTATCACAAGGGGCGAACAACATGCTTGTGATAGAATGGGCCGTGACAGGTCCTTTTAATGGAGAAATCTGGGGTCTCAAAGCAAGATCAATTTGGTCAGAAGCTTTCAGAAGCTGGTAAAGGCTTGTTGAAACAACATCTGAAGGACAAAATTCTCATCGGTTCCAGTTTCTGACATCAAAGAAAGAAACATCATTTCCTTTCACTCTGTACAGCATTGGATCAGACCGGTTGCATCCTAACCAGGTTCCCCAACAGGACGGGTGACCTGTGAAAGTAATCCCGTGGCTCTATAGCTGCTCGGATCACTTTTACTATGTAGGGAAAGAAAAAATTAAACCTTGATTATTGCTGCAGGGAGATATCAACCCAAGAGCACACTGGTATGTCCTATTGATCGGAAGTGGTTAAAATACATCTAATGCCTCAAAGAGCTTTGGCTGTACTTCTCCTTTAAGACCTCTCCATCAATAGTGCAGCACTGCCTTTTTTTGGGGGAGTCACCAGAAAGAAATGACATTCAGCAGATGGTTTGTGAAGGCAATGGTAGATTCCAAATTTCTCTCAATGTGATTGCTCCTGCCTCATACATAGGATGATGGTTATCTTAAAAATGTAACAATATTGTTCAATATAAGACTTTGCTGTACATTGCTGGTGGTAGATCTTTGACTTACGCTGTTTTTCCTTCGCTGTCCAACTTAGTGGCCACCACCCCTTTCTTCCCCAGAAGAGCAGACACTTTGTCCGTTTCCCCATGATCCACGGCTTGTAGCAAACGATCGTCATTTTTGTTCCACTCGTTAGTCTACAAAAAAAAAAAAGAAAACGCATTAATGAATGTAGCTGGCCATAATCCAGTTCCTGATGCGATATGTATAAACCTTAAAATACCTGGAACCTCATGCAAACCCCTAAAACAAATGGGAAATCCAAGCTTAGAAAATCCATTTCTGATCTAGACGGCAGCTACGGAGCTCTGAGCAGACCCGTGCAATTCATGCAGCTTGATCTTCATCAACGTAACATTACTGGTAGTACATAATGCACTGAAGGCCGCAGCTCCAGAAACAGAAGGTAGAAACTCCTACACACTCCTAGTATCTTAGAATGTCTCCTGAGATAGGCCTGGTATTTGCTGACAAAGAAAGCTGGCCATTAAAACTAAAGTAAATCTCTTAAATCAGTTTCAAAACGGCTCCAAGGCAACGGAATTGTTAAATTACATCATGATATATCCGAGTAAAGTGTATGAGAAGGAACCAGGATCTCCTGTGAGCTGAAAATATTTGCCTTCTGATGATGGATAATGATTTGCCCAATTGCCCTAAATATAGAGCAGGCAGTGTTGGCCAATCATTAACTACAGAAATATGACTGCTATTTCAAAGAACATCATCACATATTCATCTGTAAAAACTGCTCTTCTTGCAGTTGGCTTACTATTTAATGTCAAATAGGTTGCTCACATTGTAAGGGAAGTTGCACTTGCAAGGGAATTTTCCCAAGAGTTTAGTGGATGTGGAGGAGTTTCACTTTGCAACAAAGACCCAATCACATGCAGGGAAATTTTTAAAAAAGCATTTTTGCACATGACTGGATGATGGAAGTCAGCAGATTTTCAGTTCACTCACCAAGCTCTAGGGACAATTCTCTTACAAAGTGCAACTTCCCTTGCAAAGTGAACCACCTGATTGTCATTAGTAAATTAACCCCTATGCGTCTAAGATCAGTCATAGATAAACATGGTAAGTGTAGTCTAGTGCACTACAGAAGTGCCTTTTGTTTAACTGCTTGCCAATCCGTCACAATACATATACTGCAACGGGGCAGCAACAACAGGCACAACGACATACTGGTACATCGCTGTCAACTTGTGGGCGTCTGGTGGGCCCCCGCCCGCCTGCTCCCGCTGTGATTGGACACTGTGGACGTTTGTCAACAGATCAATGATTCATGGCCAGGACCTGCTGATAGGCTGTGTCGAATCACAGCCTAGAGCAGTAGTATCCAGAGTGTGGCCCAGGAGCCAGATGGAGCCATTTGCTTGCTTTTATCCAGCCCTTGGGGCATTATTTCAACCACTCACATTAACAATAGAGCATAATTCCCCCCACGGACACCAACGAAGGGTCACAATTCCTCCCAATAAAACCAAAGATGGGACACAATTTCTCCCAATGACACCAACAATGGGGCCCAATGACACTAATGAAGGGGCACAATTCCTCACAATGACACCAACGATGGGGCACAATTCCTCGCAATGACACCAACGATGGGGCACAATTCCTCTCAATAATACCATAGATGGTGTTGGAGCATCAGGACCTTTTTATACTCGTACAGGTCACAGTCTGACCAGTATGAGTCAGCAGTGAAAAGAAAAATCAATGTGTAGTAAAAAGCAGCACACAGTACACACATAACACATTGTTAAGTATACAATTAACCTCTTGATTGCACCTGGATGTACACCTCTTTCCAGTCAGTGTCATTAGTACAGTGACAGTGCATATTATTAACATTGATCACTGTATTACTGTCACTGGTAATGTCAGTGACAGTCAGTTTCCCCCAGTGAGAGTGTCAGATTGCCCGCCGCATTCTCACAGTCCCACAATAAGTCGCTGATTGCTGCCATTACTAGTATAAATAAATAAATAAAAAAAAATACTAGTGTATATCCCATAGTTTGTAAATGCTATAACTTTCACGCAAACCCATTAATATACACTTATTGGAATTTTTTTTTTTTTTACCAGAGCCATGTATCAGAATACATTTTGGCCTGACTTAGAGAAATTCTTTTTTTAAATTCATTTTTTTTTAATCCCTACTTACCTGGTGTTGAGTTCTGTACATTTCAGAGACTTACCCACCCAGCGGATCCAGAGTTGTCCAATTAAGATCACCTTCTCTTCTGGCAGTGCTCGGTCCCGCATCGCCGTGTTTTGGCATGATGTCAACCTGTTTCAGGTTCAGCCGGCGCGCCTCCCGATGATGTCCCCTCTTGGCCTGCCCCTCCATTATTATTGAATGACGGGCTTTGTCTCCTGGGATATGCATGTCACAAAGGGAGGACAGTGCATATAATTTGCAAGGAGGGGGAACCAATCAATTTATTTTAAAAAATAGGTAGAGGAAAAAAAAAAATAGGTGCTATCCGAGCCGAGGACCAGAGGAGGGATCATACTTTAGAGGGTGAAGATCTGCTTTAAATTGTTATGAGAGTCCTGAGAATTATTGCAATTTTAGCTAACTGCACGATTCCTTCGCAGGGGTGGCTCTGTAAATTTAGGTAGGAGCTGTGGGACGATAATCCTTTGGGGGTTGTGGAATTAAGGTTGAGATGCTGCAGGACCCCCATAGTGATGTGTCTTTGTGCAATATATCCTTGTGTTGCTCCAGCTTCTGCTTCCAGTTACAATTTAATTATGGTACAGCTCCTATACGGCGGTCTGTTTACATAATTCCCCAGAGAGATTGCCGGGATTCTATGATGAATTATCGCAACATATGGAAACACGGGTCTGAAGTTTCCATGGACAAAGAAAGATATGTGAAACTTCCCACTACGTTGTCATTTCTTCGTTGTGCATGATCATTGCTTAGTTTCTCTCTTATTTCTTAAAGTATATGTGGACCCTCACCTTGTAAAACAACCCGTTCAGTTTAAAACAGAAATGAAAAACAAAACATTTGTTCTCAGTTGCATAAGGAGCTCACAGAGATGGGAGCGGAGAAACAGCATCACGCTGGTCTTCCCAAGGAATGGCTGTGCAGGAGGGGGGGTGTCAGAACAAGTCTGATCGTTGGAAGAGAGAAGGTTGAGTTTCTAGCATAGCTAGAGAACTGACCATGTTCTCATGACTAGTGTGGTCAGTTTTTAATAGGAAAGCAGAGGGACTGGCAGGAACACCAGGAATTTCACACAAAGGAAGCAATACAAAGAGAACAAGTTTGTTACAAGTAAATGGTACAGCAAGCACATATCAGGAATATGAAATGTTAGGTTTACGTATTATTTAACTGAAGGGACCTTAGCCAAACATACATTTTTTCAATAGCTGTAAAGTGTATCTAAAGTCCAGCTATCTGTTGGTCATCCTGACCATTGTTACCAGAACCGAAAGTGATGAAAAATCCAAAAATGTGAGATGCCACCAGGAACAGGAATATAAGGGAAATGGGGACACTTGCATATGTCAAACCAAAAATAACAAAAAACTAATTTAGTACTTCTTTTGAATATACATACATTTCCCCATGTTTTATCCTTTTAAACTTGGTGCCAGTACAGAAATAAACAGAAACAAAGTATGCAGAAATAAACAGAAACAAAGTATGCTCCTACTGTCCTCTTTGACGTGACAACACAGCTCAGAATTCCTAAGCACGTGGTGTCAGCCCTGCCTACTACATTTCTGATTATTTCTTCCCCTCTTCTCATCTCCATAATCCCTCCTTGTGCACAGGCAGAGATCACAGGAAGTTATCAGCTCACACAATTTCTGGCTACATCAACAGGTATTTTGTACACTTATGGAATAAATATAATAAAGAAATGTAAATGGTATATTTAAAAGACCAAAAAGAAGTAAATACAGTCAGGTCCATAAATATTGGGACATCGACACAATTCTAACATTTTTGGCTCTATACACCACCTCAATGGATTTGAAATGAAACAAACAAGATGTGCTTTAACTGCAGGCTGTCAGCTTTAATTTGAGGGTATTTACATCCAAATCAGGTGAACGGTGTAGGAATTACAACAGTTTGCATATGTGCCTCCCACTTGTTAAGGGACCAAAAGTAATGGGACAGAAAATCATTAATCAAACTTTCACTTTTTAATACTTGGTTGCAAATCCTTTGCGGTCAATTACAGCCTGAAGTCTGGAACGCATAGACATCTCCAGACGCTGGGTTTCATCCCTGGTGATGCTCTGCCAGGCCTCTACTGCAAATGTCTTCAGTTCCTGCTTGTTCTTGGGGCATTTTCCCTTCAGTTTTGTCTTCAGCAAGTGAAATGCATGCTCAATCGGATTCAGGTCAGGTGATTGACTTGGCCATTGCATAACATTCCACTTCTTTCCCTTAAAAAGCTCTTTGGTTGCTTTTGCAGTATGCTTTGGGTCATTGTCCATCTGCACTGTGAAGCGGCGTCCAATGAGTTGTGAAGCATTTGGCTGAATATGAGCAGATAATATTGCCTGAAACACTTCAGAATTCATCCTGCTGCTTTTGTCAGCAGTCACATCATCAATAAATACAAGAGAACCAGTTCCATTGGCAGCCATACATGCCCACGCCATGACACTACCACCACCATGCTTCACTGATGAGGTGGGTATGCTTAGGATCATGAGCAGTTCCTTTCCTTCTCCATACTCTTCTCTTCCCATCACTCTGGTACAAGTTGATCTTGGTCTCCTCTGTCCATAGGATGTTGTTCCAGAACTGTGAAGGCTTTTTTAGATGTAGTTTGGCAAACTCTAATCTGGCCTTCCTGTTTTTGAGGCTCACCAATGGTTTACATCTTGTGGTGAACCCTCTGTATTCACTCTTCTGAAGTCTTCTCTTGATTGTTGACTTTGACACACATACACCTACCTCCTGGAGAGTGTTCTTGATCTGGCCAACTGTTGTGAAGGGTGTTTTCTTCACAAAGGAAAGAATTCTTCGGTCATCCACCACAGTTGTTTTCCGTGGTCTTCTGGGTCTTTTGGTGTTGCTGAGCTCACCGGTGCGTTCCTTCTTTTTAAGAATGTTCCAAACAGTTGTTTTGGCCACGCCTAATGTTTTTGCTATCTCTCTGATGGGTTTGTTATGTTTTTTCAGCCTAATGATGGCTTGCTTCACTGATAGTGACAGCTCTTTGGATCTCATCTTGAGAGTTGACAGCAACAGATTCCAAATGCAAATAGCACACTTGAAATGAACTCTGGACCTTTTATCTGCTCATTGTAATTGGGATAATGAGGGAATAACACACACCTGGCCATGGAACAGCTGAGAAGCCAATTGTCCCATTACTTTTGGTCCCTTAACAAGTGGGAGGCACATATGCAAACTGTTGTAATTCCTACACCGTTCACCTGATTTGGATGTAAATACCCTCAAACTAAAGCTCACAGTCTGCAGTTAAAGCACATCTTGTTTGTTTCATTTCAAATCCATTGTGGTGGTGTATAGAGCCAAAAATGTTAGAATTGTGTCGGTGTCCCAATAATTATGGACCTGACTGTAAGTGATGTTAGTTGCTGGGGTATACATACACTTATAGTGATAACTGTCAAAGAGGGCGTTGAAGAAGTTTTCTCACTGATGTTTTTTTTCTTCTATACAGCAGTAAAGGGAAACCTCTGGTATGGGACACAGATTCATGTAAAAAACAGACTTGAAGTTTTAAAATCAAAACTTGTGAGCTGCTAAATTTCTTATTTTGTACCAAGTACAATTGTGAATTTCACATAAGAGGTGAATTAAGAAGCACTGAATTTATACATTTTAAGTGAACAAGAATTTTTGAAGGATCATATATGGACATTTCTGTTGGCTATGTATATGAACATAGTGGATTTATTCAATTATAGCACTGTTTATTGGAGCACATGTATATATAGATTTATGATTTGTCACTATAGGTAATAGTGGAGCACAATTTGACATTTATATTTAGACTTGTTTTTTTAACCTTTCTCTGCTCTATCGAAATATGGGAGAAACAGACACATTAAAAATAAATAATGCCGTTAGGTGCTTTTAGTATCAGTTGTATATATATCTATGCAGTTCTAGATCTGGAGGCTCCACCCACGGCCCATGGGCTACATTTGGCTTGCTACAAGAATTTGTCTGGGCTGCAACTGGGGCACTGGGTATCCTCGATGTGTAGAGATTGAGGATTAATATCAGCAGAGGCTGACTTTGGTTTCCGTTTTTCAACCCCCCAACCCACACCCTGACTCTGTAACGGGAGAATTTGATGGGGATGCTGATGGGAACCCTGATGTAGGAGGGACTTATGATGGGGACCCTGATGTAAAGAGGACTCCGATGGGATGTAAGAGGGGACCCTATTGGGGACCCTGGAATAAGGGGGGTAATTTAACTTTGACCAAGACGAAAGGGGTGACTCTAATGAGGACTATAATGTAGGGGAGACTGATGGAGATTTGTAAAATATAGAATATATTCTATGCGCATACTTAAAGTGGTTGTAAACCCTTACATATACTCAATGAAATGATTGGCCTTAGGTGATGCACAAAGATGAAACAAATCCTTCTACATACGTTGTATCT